CCCCCTTGATTAACACTACCAGCGACATATCATCAGCCTCATAAAAATTAAAATACCAGCGAAATATCATCACCCCCTGACGTAACATTGTCAGCTGAATATCCTCAGTCCCATGGCCTCACGCTGCCATCGAAATATCCTTACCCCCTTTGCTTCAAACTGCCAGCGAAATATCCTCACCCCCCTGGCCCAACACTTCCGCTGAAATATCCTCACCCCCCTGGCCTAAGGTTGCCAGCGAAATATCCTCACCCCTCTGGAATAAAACTGCCAGCGAAATATCCTCACGCCCATGGCCTGAAGCTGCCATCGAAGTATCCTTCCCCCACTTGGCATAAAATTGCCAGCTGAATATCTTCAGCCCCCTGGCCTACATCGTAATATCCTCTTTCCCCTTGGCGTAACATTGCCAGCCGCATATGCTCATCCCCCTGGCCTAAAACTGCCAGCGAAATATCCTCACCAACCTGGCCTAAAACTGCCAGCGGAATATCCTCACCCCCTGGCCTAAAACTGCAAGCGAAATACCTTCAGACCCGTGGCCTGAGATTGCCAGCGAAGTATTCTCATCCACCGGATATGCAATTGCCAGCGAACTATCCGCACCCCCCTGGGCCAAAGCTGCAAGCGAAACTTCTTCAATCCCCTGGCCTCCCACTATCAGCGAAATACTGTATCCTCAAGGCACTGGCCTAAAACTGCCCGCGGAATTTCCTCACCCCCCTGGCCTACAACTCCCAGCATAATAATACCCGCAGCTTTCGGAGGTAAAAAACTGCTATCTACCGGCTCGGGTGGTTCAGCCAGTTCAGTCCACACAGTCAGTTTACGGAAGATCAAGTTTCGGGCTGCGCCCGTAAAACAACATGAATTGCCACTCGGTGTTTGCAGGATTTTTGTGCTTTCGCTCCCCTTGGCTTCCGAACGCGCAATGCGGCCCACGAGGTCTCCCTTAGGCCCCGCAAGAGAACGCCAAGATGGCCCCAGAGAGCCGCAAGACAGCCCAAGAAGGCTCTAAGACCCAACAGGGCGTCGGGCAGGGCTCCAAGAAAGCGAAAGAGGCCTCAAGACGGCTCAGGAGCGCTCCCCGACGGCCCAGGAAGCTGCCTAAGAGGACCCAAGATGAGCCGAAGAAGGTCCAAAAGGGCACCAGAGCGCTCAAGATGGCCTCAGCAAGAGTCGAGAGATCCACAGGAGAGCTCCCGCTAATACGGCCCACGTGGCCTCCCAGAGGCCCTCCAAGAGAGCGCCAGAACAATCTCGAGGCTCTTCTGGGGAGCTGCGGTGTCGTTTCGGGGCCCTCCAGGGATCCTCCGGTGCCGTTTCGGGCTCCCCAGGGCGCTCGGGGAACCTGGGGTCCCCCCCAACCCCCGACGGAGTGGTTTGAATCTTACATGCATGCGTACATACATACATGCATACATGCTTCTTACACAAACACATACACATGTCCACGCACATGCATACACATACAAACGCAACTACATATACATTCGCACGATCATATACACATACACCTATGCATATACATCCGAATAAACATGCGTATGCACACACACATCGACGCATAATAAACAAATGCCTATACACGTGCATATACATACCCATACACATACGCATATACTGTTACACATATACATATACACGTATGCACATACGTATTCATATACGTATACGTCTAATGCACATACACGTCTACATCTGCATATGCGTATGTAGTATACACATACCTGTACAATTACATACACAGAGTCATGCACATACGCATTTCCGCATACCAAATACATTTCTATGTGCATACACGTTTACATAAGCAGACGCATATGACGGTACACATGCCTTCACACATTCATATACGTACTGACATACATATACACATTCATATACACATGCATGTACCTATACATACACATACACAAGCATGGACATCCGCACATACGTATACATCAACATGTACACATATACGTGCATCTATGGATGTATACGTATGTATGTATGCATGCATGCATGTATGTATGTATGCATGTAGGTACTTATGTATGTATGTATGTATGCATGTATGTATGTATGTATGCATGCATGCATGCATGCATGCATGCATGCATGTATGCATGCATGTATGTATGTATGTATCTATGCATGTATCTATGCATGTATGTATGTATGTATGTATGTATGTATGTACGTACGTATGTATGTATGTATGTATGTATGTATGTATGTATGTATGTATGTATGTATGTATGTATGTATGTATGTATGTATGTATGTATGTATATGTATGTATGTAGGTAGGTATGTATGCATGTATGTATGTATGTATGGATATATGTATATATGTATATATATATATGTATGTATATATACATATGCACATCCCTGGCTACGAGGTCTGGGACCCTGGGCCTCAGCGTCCCCAGGCCTCCGTGGGCCCCGCGGCTCTTCGGAGTCGCCCAGGATCTCCTGTCCCCGATGCCAAGGGGGCGCCAAGACGGTGCGAGCCCACTCCCTCTGGGCCCGCGGAGCGTTCCAGGACGGCCCGAGGTGGCTGCGAGGCGGCCCCCGGGGGGCGAGCGCCTCCAGGCACTGCCCAGAGCAGGAGCGCGGGAGGGACGAGCACGTGCAGGAGTCCACGTGGGTGTCGAAAGCACGCCTTGCGCGAACGTCCTGGACAGTAGCACGAGGCCTCGCGGACGGGGGGGGGGCCGTATTTACGTACGTGGCCGTGTGCGCGCGATGTTTGTGGGTTTCCTTCCAGAGGGCCCCAAGGGGGCCCCGAGAGGGACATCATTGAGTGTCCTTGGGTTCTCGTCCGCTTTTCGCATGCTGTGTCTAGGAGGGTCCAGTATCTATCGAGATGGTCCGAGAGGCCTCGGACATGAGCCCAGAGCGTTACAGGACGACCCAAGAAGCCCCAGGGGCCTCCAAGACGCCTCAAGGCGCTCCCAGGTGGCCCCCAAGAGGGCCCCGAGAGGGAAACACCATAGATAGCCCATGGGTTTCTCATGCGCTTTTCGCAAGCTGTTGTCGAGCCTCTGACCTCACACGACTGGCCAAGAGGGCCACAATGTTGCTCCAAGATTGCCCCATGGGGGTCCCATCGGACCCGCAAACCACCCAAGACTGGCCCGAAGTGACCTACGAGGCTTTCCAAGAGGGCTCTCGAGGCAGCAAAAAAGGACCCCCCAGCACCGATATCTCGAGTCTTGCCCTCTAATTTTGAACCCCAGGAGCCCTTCAGAGGCTCATAGCAAAGCAGGGCATCCCAGGGGATCCGCAGAGCCGACAACACGGATCTGCAGAATCCCCCCCAGTGCCGTCCCAAGAGATATGACGAGGCATCTTGCGAGAGCCCGCCTCAGAGGCTCCCCAACCCCTGCGATCCGACGTTGCAAAAAAATGCAGCATCGCAACAAAAATCACGACCAGACCCCCGCCATTTCTCGAGCCGGATCGATCTGTGAGGGTCCCGGGGCCCGAAGTGGAGCGAAGAGGCCCGCTGTGAAAGCATGGTAGCGCCAGGCTCTCAGGGATCCTCCGGCCCCGGGGCCGTCAGTCAGCAGCACGGCGCGAAGCCGAAGCGACGCGGAGGAGGAGGAGGAGGAGGAGGAGGAGGAGGAGGAGGGAGGAGGAGGAGGGGGAGGAGGAGGAGGGGGGGGGGAGGAGGAGAGGGAGAAGGGGGGAGGGGAGGGGAGAGGACGAGGAGGAGGAGGAGGTTAGGAAAGGGAGGAGGAGGAGAAGGAGGAGGAGGAGGAGGAGGAGGAGGAAGACGAGGAGGAGGAGGAGGAGGAAGACGAGGAGGTGGTGGAGGAGGAGGGGGAGGAGTGGATACCGGTAGTGGCGATGGAAGCGGTCCCGTGGCGCGGCCGTGCCGGCAAACGCGGTGGTAACCGTAGCAGACCCGGTAATGGTAGGGATAATTGCCGTGTGGCGCGTTCGAAGTGCACGTGTGGTTCTAGGAATTGTGCTTGTATAGGCATACGTGAACAATGTTGTAGTTGCGTATGTGTAACTATACACATATGTATGTGTGTATATATATATATATATATATATATATATATATATATGTGTATATAGGTGTGAGTACGAGCCGATCTGCGTAGCTGTACATATGTACATCTGCATGAATGTATCCATGTACCGATCTATCCATGTGTATGGATCGGTGCATACATCGGAGGTTGGGGGGTGAGTCCGACGTGAAACGGAGACCCCCCCTACCGGGAAATCGATTTCGGTTTCGGGTTCGTGTCGTGCGTGCCGTGCGTGCGTGCGGGCGAGGCGAAGCTGCGTGGGCAGGCGAGAGGAAATGCTCCTGTGGCTGGGCCGCGGCCAGACCAAATGTTTCTCTGGCGGCGGGTGGCCCGCGATCTCCCGCCGGTGTCCCGCTGGTGTCCCGAACTCCTCCTGTGGCTGGGCCGCGGCCGGACCAAATGTTTCTCCTCCGGCGTCCGGTGGCCCGCGGTATCCCGCCGGTGTCCCGTGGTGTCCCGTGGTGTCCCGTGGTGTCCGCCGATGCTAGGGCGAAGTGAAATCGATAGTGAGATCGACAAGTGTCCTGTGGTGTCCCGTGGTGCCCCAAAAAGTGAGATCGATAGTGAGATCGACAGGTGTCCCGTGGTGTCCCGTGGTGTCCTGTTGAGTGAGATCGATGGTGAGATCGATTGAGTCAGATGTTGGTCCCCCCCTCCCCCCTCACAACCTCCTTAATCACCCGAAGGGTGGTCGTATAGGTATATAGTATCAGCGGGGCGATCTTGGGGCCCGGGGGTGCTGAACAGCGCCGGAGGCAGGACCTCCAGCCTCAGAGCGGTGGTCGGATTGCGTGTCCGTCCCTGGGATCACGACTGGAGCCCTAGACCTTTATTTCTGCTGCATGTTTCCTTTTCGACCTGTGATGGCCCCAGGCCCGAAGCCAGGCGAAAACGTCGGGCCTGAAACAAATGCAGCGTCCAGATCTCAGGGGGTCCCCATCCGGTCTCTCCAGCCCTCCGCAGGTGCTGGCCCACTACTACCTGCGCGAGGGCTACCTCAACAAGGTTCGGCATCGTGGGCCCCATCCCCATCCCCACTCGGCCATGGCATCTCAGCCCCACCAGCCCACCCTCTTGGGCGGGCGCAGGCTCCGCAGAACCCGAGGGGAAGGGAGCAGCGTACATATCCCCGCCTAGGTGGCTAAGTCGGCCATGTCGGGGTCCCCGCTCAAATGGGAGCGTTCCCCAGGGTCCCACAACCCGCACCCATACCCATAGGCACTCCTCCTCCCAACGGCCCCCCCATGGGTATGGGTGTGTGTTGTTCGTTCGTCAAGTGTGGGGATGGGGATCGGCGAAATGCTGCTCGAGGTCCGAACCCTGTGCGACGAGGAGCTCCGACGCAGCAACGACCCCGCCCTGGTGCTCTGGAAGGCCCTGGCGCTTCACAGCGAGGGCTCCACCCGCGAGGCCATCGCAGAGGCAGAGGTCGGGGGGGGGATCAGTCTCAGAGGAGGAGGAGGAGGAGGAGGAGGAGGAGGAGGAGGGGGGGGAGGAGGAGGAAGGAGGAGGAGGAAGGAGGAAGGAGGAGGAGGAGGAGGAGGAGGAGGAGGGAGGAGGAGGGCGAGGAGGAGGAGGAGGAGGAGGAGGAGGAGGAGGAGGAGGAGGAGGAGGAGGAGGAGGAGTAGGAGGAGAGGAGGAGGAGGAGGAGGAGGAGGAGGAGGAGGAGGAGGAGGAGGAGGGAGAGGAGGAGGAGGAGGAGGTGGAGGAGGAGGAGGAGGAGGAGGAGGAGGAGGAGGAGGAGGGGAGGGGGGAGGAGGAGGAGGAGGAGGAGGAGAGGAGGGGAGGAGGAGGAGAGGAGGAGGGAGGAGAAAGGAGGAGGAGGAGGAGGAGGAGGGGCGAGGAGGAGGAGGAGGAGGAGGAGGAGGAGGAGGGAGGAGAGGAGGAGGAGGAGGAGGAGGAGGAGGGGGAGGGGGAGGAGGAGGAGGAGGAGGAGGAGGAGGAGGAGGAGGAGGGAGGAGGAGGAGGAGGGTTCACCACTAGGACTCCGACGCATACTCAGGCAGCGCACCAGGATGATGGTCTCAGCAGCCAGTGGGCAGGATTTCGGCGCCGATGCATCCACGGAGACGGGGGCGCCCCCTGGAGGCTGGAGGATCAGCCTCCTCGATCCTCCTCCTCGTCCTCCTGCTGTGCACCCTTCATCCTCGATCCTCCATCCTCGATCTTGCATCCTCGATCGCCGATCTTCCTCCTCTTGCTCCTCCTCGATCTTCCTTCTCGATCCTCCTCCTCGTCCTTCGCGTTATTCCTCTTCCTCTATCCTCGATCCTCTGCATCCTCGATCCTCCTCCTCCTCCTCGATCCTCGATTCTCGATCCTCCTCCTCCACGTTCTCCTCCCCTTCCCCCGCCTCCCTGCCTGCGCCGCAAAACCGCCGAATCGCGAGCGGAAGGGGGCCGTGGAGAAGCGGGACATGGGGCTTCCCGCGGCGAGCGCCCTCGTCGTCCTCAACGGCGCGATCCGCGACACTGACCAGGTGCTGCTGCTGCTGCTGCTGCTGCTGCTGCTGCTGCTGCTGCTTGCTGGTCGTCGGGGGCGTCGTCCCTCCTCCTCCTCCTCCTCCTCCTCCTCTTCCTCCTCCTCCTCCTCCTCCTCGCCGTCTGGCAGGTTGTACAGCCGCCAGTGAACATTTTGTCCGCGGTTATGTATATCGACTTGGTGTTCTACGTATACCGCACCACCCGGCATGTGTTCGTGGTGTTTCCGCGCACGGGCGTGCACGCATACTGCAGACTGTGCGCGCCTGTCCGAGCGTGGCTGGTGTGTTTGGTCATCTTGGTCATTGACGGTTCTTCTCTTTTCGTCCCCTGCTTTTGTCCGGCCGTCCCTTTTTTGGGTGAGCGCGCTCCTCCTCCTCCTCCTCCTCCTCCTCCTCCTCCTCCTCCTCCTCCTCCTCCTCCTCCTCCGCTGCAGGCCCTGGGCACGGCCTGGCTGGTTGGAGAGCAGCTGCCAGGTGCTCTCAGGTTCCTCGTCGAGGGCCTGGAGGCCCGCAAGCTGCGCGTCAACTGGGCTGGCTCACAGGAGATGCCGAGCCAGCCGCAGCCTTGGAGGCAGCGTGGGACGGCGACATCAGAAGGTCCCGCGGGGCTTCGATGCCTTGGGGGTGATGGCTCCGGCAGGGTTCGCCGCAGCGTAGCTGAGCAGGACAATCGGCTGGCCAAAGCGGAGTCGGCCAAGCGAGTGCACCACTTGCGAGCGGCAGGCGCTTCCGTCGAGCGGAGCTTCCGAAGCTCGCCCGCCGCCACGGCCGTCTGGGGGTCGGCCGTGACAGACGTGGCCGACATTGAGCTGGATAGTTTGCGGGTGTCGGCGCTGCGAGCTGAAGGGAGGCTCCCGGCAGGGCCTATAGCGTCGGCCTACGCGTTCGCACCATGAGCCGTGGGTTTTGGAGGGACCTGTTTGTCATCCACTTTGGAGAGGTGGTGCACGCGTGGGCCGTGTGCGTGGAGACTTTGGTGCCTTCGCATGCGGTTTTGGATCAGGTTCTTGAGGGTTCTCGGGAGATGCCGAGGCAGAAGTCTCCGTGGGCACAGTGCGCGAATCCAGCGCAGGCGTTGTTGCTTGCCCTGGCCCGTGCTGGAGGCACGATGCGTACTGCCACGGTAATGCAGTGTCCATTCGGGGAGGAAGTCGACTTGCAGTTTTTCTCCCCTGGCGGAGCTGTCACGGTGGCCCAGCGCATGGCAGTCGCAGCCTCTGACATGATAGATAGCCATAAGTAGATACGGCTGTTGGCGTTCGGAGCTGAATTGGCGCCCCATCGGCCAGGTCCGCTTTGAGAAGGACTCTGCGGGTCTCGGGAGGCACGAGCGCAACTTGGTTCGCAGTCTTATCTCGGGGACCCATTGGCCATAAGCGAGGCTCCACAGGCGCGGCCGGGCTGTCTCGGACACGTGTGGAATGTGCGGTTGCCGCGGCACGCTCTTCCACATAGGATTTGATTGCCCATGCTCTGCGGGTTCCCGGCGCACCGATATGCTGGGAGATCTCGAGCAGGCCGCTTGGAAGGTGGCGAATCTCGGCAAGGACGAAGCTGAGCTGTTTGCATCGTGTATGTTCCCTTCCCCCGAGCGCTCTTTTCGGCGGCCCGAGGCGCCCGAGGCAAACTGGGTCAGGTCTGTAGGGGCCGTGGTCGGGTGGCTTTGGGGAGGGCCGATTCTTATTGACGGCTCCGCTTATTGCACGAAGGTGCCTGCTTCGCAATCGCGGGGTGCTCCGCGTGCTCGCTCTCTGTTGTGGATTTTCTGAAGGGTCGCCAATCGCGCGCTCTTCCGCCCACGCGTCCCGCAGGATGCACGGCTTAGTGGTGGTGGTGGTGGCTCGTGAAGAAGAGCGGGCTGGTCTGCTGTGCAGGTCGACCAGGCCGGCCGAGAGGTTGCCCGCACGTGTGGGGTGGCTCCTCGGAAGCGGGGGCCAGACCAGTGGGCTCGCGGTGGCAAGGATTATGTGGTCCACATGCTGGCGTGGTTGTTCGAAGCCCCCCTCGGGCGATGGGGACTCATAGGGGGCCACATGCGAACCTTACCCCCCGCGATTTCTGAGGGGGAGGGTGGGGTTCACTTCGCTCGGGAGGTCCCGAACGAAGTAAACCCCACCCTCCCCCTTAACTCCGGAGTGCCCCTAGAACTTTTCTGCGATTGTGCAGGGTCCGTTTCGTGCGTGACTGATTCGGCCAAAAAGCGCTGGATCCTCGGAGGGAGCGGCGGCACATGTGGACGCTGTGGTGGTCTCAGGTAGGCTCGTCTGCAACGGTGGCAACAAGCTAAGGTCCATGGGTCGCTGCAGGAAGCCTCGTCTGTTAACGACATGTGGACGCTCAGGGGTAACAGGCTGGCCGACGAGTGTGCTGAGAAAGGCGCCTGCTTGTGGGAAATCCTGGAGGAGCAGGAGTGCTTCGCAGAAGCGTGTGAGAGGCACGTGGAGCAGGTGGCAGCTTGGCAGGGCCGCTTGCACTCCTGGCTGCATGCCTCTGTTTTTTTCGAGAAACCGACGGGGTCGGTGGCACGGCTGACGTTGTCTTGGATCTCGAGTTGGATGAGTCTCTGCTCGATGCGGGAGCTGCCAGCGAGTGGAGTACCCACTGTGCTGCCAGAGAGAGCGCCTCTGGTGTCGCGAAGCGCTGCCAGTGGAACTTTTAAAATTGTGCGGGCCAGGCTCGGGCTCCCGCGGAGGGGCCGCGCCCTGCCGTTGGGAGTTGGGAACCTGGGGATGCAGCCATGGTCATTCGGAGATGGACAGACCTCCTACCCCGACACGTCGATTAAGGACTCGGCCGTTTTTGGTTCGCGAGAGGGCGTCGCGGCCGTCATTTTTGCGGGTCCAGGTCCGTCGGTGTCGGTCCCAGGCTGTTTTCACCAAAGGGAGGTTTACTAAAGGGAGGTTTGTCCACCACCGAGTTACATCAAGGGCATGCGATCGTGCAAGCGGTGGAGCTCGGCTCAGAGACTGCCCCTGCCAGTTCGGTGCCAGCGCCCAGAAATAAAATACAGGACCGGAGGAACGGGCCCTTGCCGCCTTCTGTGAGGGTAGAAAAACATCCTGCCTTGGCCACCCTGCGTAGCAGCATTACGAGAGGCCTCCATCCGAGTTCGACCTTATCCCCACCTCCTGAGCTCGGACTCCTGTGTACCCCGTCGGTCGAGTTCCGAGGTCCGTGGGCGGGGAAGCTGCGAGTCGAGGGTGCGAGTTCTGGTTCTGGCCCGGCTCTGGGCAAGCGGGGCCTCAAGATCCTGGAGCCGCCTGACATGCGTAGGGTTGCTGCGTTGCACGGCTTCTCGGATCCTCGGGAGGCGGTTGAATGGTGCCGCCGAGAGCGAAGCAGAGAGGCTCGCGATACGCAGTCCCAGAGGGAGCACCGTCCTTCAGGCTTGATCTAAGCATCGGGCATTCGCATGCCGCGAGGGAACTTGCTCAATTTTACAATACCTCCAATACGTTCTCCTCCTCCTCCTCCTCCTCCTCCTCCTCCTCCTCCTCTCCCGATCCTCTTCTTTCTCCTCCTCCTTCTCCTCCGCCTTCTCCTCCTCATCCTCCCCATCCCCTGACATCCTGTCGCTGTGCAAGAATTCCAGCGGAAGGGTTTTGCTCAGTGTCGGCATCCGGGGGCCCTCGCCGGGCTCCGGGGCCGTCAGAAAACGGGAAGAAGCCGCTCCTAGGGAAGGGATCCAGGCCTTTGGGACCACGCTGTAGAACAAATCGCGACGTCGGATGTCTGGCCTGTTTCACTGAGAGCCGACGTCGCCCAACAATTGCAACATCGCAGGACATCGCGATTGGAGCCTCAGACCCTATCTTTCTGCGCCATCTTTCGAGCCGGATCGATCTGTGAGGGTCCCGGGGCCCATTATTGAGCGAAACAGCTCGTTGTGAAAAGGTTGCGACGCCAGGATCTCAAGGCTCAAGGCTCCTCCTCCTTCTGCCCACACTGACGGAGCGTCCCCCCAATCGGTTGCTCGTTTGATCGCTAAGGCCGCCTGGGAGGGTGTAGACTTCCTCACTGAAGGCACTGCCGTCCAGTGTCGTGGTAGAGTTGCCAGTTGGGCGATCCGCCTTCTCCTCCTCCTCCTCCTCCTCCTCCTCCTCTTCCACCTCCTCCTCCTCACTCTTCCCTCCTCCATCCTTCCTCGCCCTCGTCGTCGTCGCCCCAAGACATCCGACGATCTGATTTCTTCAATGCGCGGCATGGGTGTCCCGACCCCTTCCATGGGGGCAGGGGGCAGTTTTTTGTCCTGGATCAGTTTTTGATGGTCCCGGGATCCTATGAAGGTCCCGAGAGGCCGAAACCGATTAAACGATCAGATCGTCTGAGCTCTGGATCGTCGCGGGCCGCCTGGTCGCCGTCGTCGCCGTGGGATCCCCTCCCTCTTGCCTTCACCCCTCACCCTCGTCGTCGTCATTGTCGCCGCCGCCGCCGCCGTCGTCGTCGCCGTCGTCGTCGTCGTCATCGTCGCTGCTCCCGCTGTCGTGGGCCGCCCGGCCGCCGCCGCCGCCGTGGGCCCCCTCCGAAACCGACCCCAACGAGAGGTGGCTCACTGGACCTCGCGGCTGCGCTCCGAGGCCCGGGACGCCTCCGAGGGCGCCCGTTGCCTGGCCGCGCAGCTCGCCGCACTGGCCGGCGAATACGACCAGGCGCAGGAGGGATCGGGCGTTCCGAAATGGGGGAAGCGATCAATCATCACCACCAACACCACCATCATCACTACCATCATCATCATTATCATCATCAGCAGCATCATCATTTGCGTCAGCATGATGATGTTAACCATGATCACCGTTATCATCATGCTCATCATGATCATCAGCATCATCATCATCAGCATCATCATCACCAACATCATCATCAGCATCATCACCATCACCATCTCCAGCATCACCACAATCATCATCCTCATCATCATCACTGGCATCCTCATCATAATCCTCCCCGTCAGCCTCAGCATCAGCATCAGCATCGTCATAATCAACAACATCCTCATCCTCCTCCTTTTCATCCTCCTCATCATCCTCCACACCATCATCATCACCATCATCATCATCATCATCATCATCATCATCATCATGATCAGCATCATCATCATCATAGTCGTCATCATCAGCACCATCATCAACATCGTCATCATCATCGCCATCAGCAACATCAGCACCATCAGCATCACCATCACCACGACCATCATCAGCATCGTCATCATTGCCTCCGCCACCATCATCATCATCATCATCATCATCATCATCATCAGCATCATCATCATCATCGTCGTCGTCGTCATCATCATCATCGTCTTCATCTTCATCATCTCCATCTTCAGATTCATCTGTACCTTCGCCTTCGTCAGCACCACTCTTACCAGCATCCCCATCACCTTCACCTCCACCATCACCATCATCATCGACATCACCGCCATCATCACCATCATAACCAGCAGTGGCAGCAGCGTCCTCATCATCGTCGCTCAAGCGTATCGTCCGAACTGTTTTGACGCATCTGTTGTCTCTGGCATGTGTTCCAGTTTCGGGACGCTTGCCCGCAGCAGCGCCTCGCCGAGAGCGTTCCAGGGGTGCCCGGATCGTCCCGAGCGGCCCGAGTTGTGGCCCGAGGAACGAGGGAGGAGGGAGGGAGGAGTGAGGAGGCACGAGGGAGGATGGAAGAGGGAGGAGGGAGGAGGGAGG